TTACCCAAGGTTGTATATTTGGCAAAATTAAAAAATCGACTTCTCCAACTAATCCTTTTGTCATTGACAAATTGGATGAAGAAAGTTTTAACAGAATTGATTCATGAGATAAATTTGGAGAAAACCTGGAAATTACACTTCCAAAAAATGGTAAAGAGTAAAGCCTAAGCAATATTCTATCAGCAAAAGAATAAATTGCCCAAATATTGGGTGCCCAATACAGATGTGTAAGTCCTCTAGAAAAGGGGAATAATCTTTGCAATAAACTTGGTAAGACACCATAGTAAATAAAGGGACCAAATGCAACACTGAAAACTCCAATAACAATCAACCCTAATTTTATTAAATTTTGCCATATTACAAAATTGACTAAATCATTGATATTTCTAGGAATCTTCCAATTTAAACAATATGCTCTTAATAAGAAAACGAAAAAAGCTGGAGCAATGTACAAAAAAATGTGCTTGAAACATAATAATGTAGAAAAGCAAAATGCACATAAACAATACTTTTGTAACTTTGCTGCAACAAGTGCAAATACAAGAATACCAAACATCATTCCATTGTATTGAAAATGAATATGGTCTACTATAAATAAACCTGGAGATAATGCTAACGAACTCGCAACAACAAATGATCTTGATTTATCTTTAGGTGAAGAAGAATTGACATACCATTGTAAAGCAACAAAATAAAGTATTTCACTAATAATGACTGTAGACCTCTGGAAATATATTGTTGGCCATGAATAAACACCTTTATCAACAATATCCAAACAACCATCTTCCTTAACAATATTGGGCACAAATTGTGAAAGAAGCCATTCAAAATATGCAAAAAAGGGCGGATAATCCAAAGTCCACTGTGATGTATTCTCCAAATACCATTGAGATAACGGTAACTTATTCGTTATAGCCAACCAATTTCTATGAACATCGAAATCTGTAGAATGGTATGAAACGAATAAAAGTATCTTAAGTAACGTTGAAGCAACCCATATATTCCACAAAGAAAAATTCCTCTCCTCTTTCACTGTAGGAGAATCAACAGCCTTCTTGCTTTTTTTCAACAGCGACTTACACAGCATTTACCAAACAAACTCTGTATATTATATTATCTCTTTTCAAATTCCTTCTACTAATTTTGCAAATGTTTTTAAAAATTACAAAATTCTATGTGAAAAAAAAAAAAAAATGAAAAATAAAAATAAGTGAAATTTTAAAGAAGCGAGAGGTTAAAGTACCATACAATTGATAATTATAAATATTCTCTTTAAGAGTGAGCTGCTATTGATTGGAAATGAGCATATTTATGTAGATTATTTTTCTAAAAAGAGTTATACTCGGTAATTACAAAAAAGAATAAAATGAAATAAAATTAAATATAATAAAAGACATACATACAGTTTTAAATGCTTTAGATAAATTTGCGAAAAAAAAAGTCAATAATCAAGGGGTCAACAACTTATGAAATGATGGCTTCACCATTTTTCCTCTGGATTCTTCTTGAACTCTTCGTACAGCTGTTTATTAAACAAGGACAATTCCGTTTCGTTTTCAACACCGTAATCACACAATTTCTTTTCTTGATTTTCTAAATCCAATATCCAATCTTCATCGTGCTCCATATTAATGACCAAATTCATTGTCTTGGATCCGTGCGCATGGGTATATATCTTCATAGTATCATAAGCAACATTCCTATATGGCCTTAAGGCACCTGTCGTATTAATTGTATTGATAATTTGATCAAATAGTTGTTTCGGAGTGGTGTTTTTCAAATCAACATGTTGTACTACATAATTTTTTACATTCCTATATGGGAAAGATCTAATTATTCTAATGGTTAAAACTGCATCCGTCAATGGACGAGTAGTCGACGTTAGTGGCTCTTCAAGATCAAACTCTGACATATTCGGAAATATCCCTTGAATCAATTCATGTTTTTATTAGTAAATATAATTATGTCTTTTAAAAAATCTCATGTCTAAAAATTTTCTGAGCTTTTCCTGTCCTAAAAGAGGGTATTGAAGAAATTACAAAGTACTATAAAAAAGGGGATACCGCTGAATATACTAATTAATTTTATTTCTTATATATATATATGTATATGTATATGTATATGTATATGTATAGACTATAGATTGTTTAGAATTGCTTGTTCGTTGCAGACTTCTAGATTGTCATGATGCTGGTCTTTTAAGCTCAGGTTTCCCTTTCCTGAACTGTTGTAGCTTACAATGCTTACGTTGTCCAAAGATTCTCCTTCGCAAGACAACGATAACCCGGAAACTTCATTGACGAATTGGTAGAAGTCATATGATCTTTCCATCTCTTCGTTTACTCCATTTTCAAGGTCATTGGAAGCCTGAGATGATAGGCTTTCATCTTTGCTAGTAGTGCTGCTGTGAATACCATTCACTGTCTTCAAAGAACTACGCTTACTTCTACCACCACCACCAGAAGAAGAAGAAGAAGAAGAAGAAGAAGAAGAACCTGAATATCTAGGGAAATGATCTTCTATCAGTTCTATTATATTTTGGCTAATTTTTGAATTTTTCAAATCAAATTCCGTGATATAAGGCTTACCTTGACTTAATTCTTCAAAACATTTCATTGCTTCATTAGCACTCATATAGTTATTATCGTCATTGATTAAATCGTTTATTACATTGATAAATGAACCAAACCCAATTCCCATTTCTCTTTCATCACTATGCTTATATATGTCAAATATCTCTTGCACTTCTTCTAGAGCCAATTCAAAACCAATGGTTTTCAAAGATTCTGCAAATTCGCCATAATTCAAATGATTTTTTTTCCCATGATCAAATTTTTTAAAAATTATCTCAAATTCTTCAATTTGTAATGGTGTTAAATTATTATTATCATTTTCAGGTAAATTGTTTCTTGCAGAAAATTGGTTTTCAATAAATGATAATTTCTCAACAACCAAGTTTTTCAATAATGAACATTCATATCTTAATTCATCATATGTAGATGCATTATAAAGATCATTATCTTCAATATTACTTGCAATACACTTTTCATTAAGCAGAGAAATACTTTTCAATGGCTTTTCTAAAAGTTTTAAATCTTCGCTTAGCTGAGAAATCATTTCAAGTTGATCTTCTAAATTAGAGTTTAAATTTTCTAATTGACTGTATAATTTATTTATCTTAACGTTGATGTCCATTGAGAGACTAGCAAAATTTTCACACATTGTTTTCTGAATTTCTTGAAGTTCTTTATTTATGGATTTTGAAACTTGTAATTCCAATTCACTTAATTTCAACCATAAACAATCAATAAACTTTGTTGTAAGATTTTCTGGGGGGTCATAAGGGTGTAAGCAATACGTTAATAATTTTGTCTTCACGTTATTTAATAATATAATTAATTCTGATTTTTCCTTTAGCCATTTTCTCTTGAGATTATTTTTGTAGATTTTATTAAAGTTATTTTTTTCCAGTAAGATTGTTTGATAATCACCATAATCTCCTTTGCTAGTATGACATTCAATCTTTGACTGCCATTTAGAAATTTGCAAATTAAGTTCATGAATCAAGCACCTGGCTCTTTTTTCATAATTATTTTGCAAATCTAAAACACTCATTGCAATACCTATAAATTTTTCAATTTTTTCAGAACTTTTCTGTTTTTCAACTTCCATATGTTCCATATCATGGAATTTATTATACCATTCAATTAAATATGACACCACTGTTTTCTCATCTGGTATTTCTTTCAGTAAATCTTCACAATCTAATAATTGTGGTATTCCTAATTCATTTGTAGCTATATTTAATGCCTGTTGAATATTTGACAAATTATTTGTTGGATTTAACGATTCAAAATTTAATAATTCAGGTTTATATCTATGTATTATAGCACATAACGCTAAACCATCATTCCAACTTGTGGTAAAATTCTCAACATTAACATTTGAGTGATTTTTAGTACAGCTTTGACACCAAAGTAATAATTCAGCTTTTCTAGAACTTGCAAGACTGTTCTTGTGATTTATCATGGAAAATTGTAAAATTAAAGACCATACTAAACCCAAGATCAATTTCAAATTCCCCTCTTGAATATCTTCTGCTCCTATATTATACAAGTTGATGCTATTATTAAATTTTATGAATTCCAAAGCGTAGTTGATATTTTCAACACATTGAATACCTAACTTTGGGTTCTCATAAATTGGTCTTATCTTCAAATCAGTATGGTTTCGTGAAATCACAGATAATAATTCTATCAAGACAACACCATCTGATAAATCTTTGGCCAAATTCTCTACTTTCCTAGCTGGTAACTTTGAGTTTATCCATCTTAAAAAAGTCTTGTGTTGGGCCTCAGCCCATTCAGGAACCTGAATATTGGCCATATATGTGAATATTTAAAAAATCACGGAAATATTCGCAACAGGAAAATCTTCTTCTTTAATATATTTAAAATTTCTCTTTTATTTCTTCTTTAGTGGACTCGTATAAGATCAGTTTCAAGCAATAAACTGTAATGATCAACTTGAAACGATGCGTTTTAACGTATGAAACGATTTAACATTTTAAGAAACTTTTAGAGCTCAACCTCAACTTCAACCACAACCTCAACCTCCGCTATGGTAAAGAAAATTAGTACCACCGCGCCCTTCATGCAAGATGCAGTAAATCTGAAAAATTAACGCGTTAAATTATTAATCCAAAACAGGAAATTTTTGTTTTAAATTTGATCATTTTTCAATTGCTTTACCTGTAAGACGAGTTAAATGCTCATCTACTTTTGTATATATAGAGGTTACGGTTACGGTTACGGTTACGGTTACGAATATGGGGAAACAATTCTGTAAAATGTGAACTTAATGGAGTTTAAGCGATTGTAAAAAATTCCACAATCTTAATGTATATTGATAATAATATATACTGCACAACGTTAAAATGTGCTAATACTGGTATCATGTTACTTAAGTTTGAAATGAAACATTAGCACGACTGTTGTAAACTCCCGGTGGCCAAGTTGGCTAAGGCGCGAGACTGTAATTGTTCTCACCTTCAACATTTAAAATTGAGGGTAAAATAGTAATCTTGAGATCGGGTGTTCGATTCACCCCCGGGAGAATTTTTTTTTTTATTTTTTAATTTTTTTTTTTTCACTTTTTTTGGCGTGAGGCTCACTCATATCGAGAATATTATATATATATGTACTACAAAAAATAGGTTGGTGCCTTTGCATCCAAACTTAACATCATCAGAAAGCTAGAATTGAAATTTGTAAAAAGTAAAAATGTCCCAAAAGTATAAGAAATGTAAACTATTAGTAAGAAGTCAATAAAAGGGTATAAATAAGTTTATAATATATATATATATATATATATATATATATAAATATAGGTAGATTGTGATTTATATTTTCTAGTTGTAGTAACACTCTCCAGAGATTCTTTTCAATAAATCGAAATCGTATAGGTCTGCATTTTTCATATGATGATGATCTTCCACGATGGAACTGTTACTTCTATTTTCGGTGGTGAAGTCTTTGGCAATGGCACCCGTACCACTGTTGGTATCATCTAATGAAATAAGTTGTGCATTTTTTCTAACATCCACTAATACTTTTATCTGATTTTGAGTATCTTCGGATAATTCCTCGAATTTACTATTTGCTAATAATTTCAATCCATCTAACCATATATAAGATGCTTCTTTAGTGTCAGTGTAAAAACTTAATAATGTTTTCTTATTCTTACCTATTAGAGTAATCTTCTCGTATGAAGATTTACTCTTAATTGTGATTAACCTAGAATTCTCTGGAACTTGCTTACCGTTATCAACAGGTGTAGCTTCAAAATTTGCAATTGAATTTATGTCTAGAACGTGACCAGTTTTGTCAATGTTTGGAGTTTGTTTCGATTTAGATTTAAATTCTTTATATATGATTGCCAAGTTATTTGGAGAAAGTATCAAGAAATACATCTGTGGTTTCCTCGAACCAGTATTATTCTGCAGTTGCTGCTGTTGCTGTATGCGGACAGGGTTTTCTGCATATACCCATGAGCCTTTAGAAAGATTTAATAATCTTTGTTCTTTGATGAAATTCATCACTTCAGATTGTAAAAACTTATCAAAACTAGTATTCATCCATGCTGCAGAATGACGTTCTCTAATTTCTCTTAATTGAATCTTCCTTAAATCAGCGTATGAGAATTTATTTAAGGCTCCCAAGACTTCACCCATAGAACTTCCACTACCTAACAGTGTATCTGCATGAGTATACAGTGTATGAATACTTTTGATTATAATAGGAACGTCTTTCAGTTCTGCATTCGATGTCTTCCAAATTCGAAGCATTTGAAGCATACCTACATAAAACAAAGAATCAACACTATAAAGACGGTTTTTCAAATTTATATAATTCTTGGTCAACAACACATCATCAAAGAGAAAATCAGAGACTGCCATAGCTGCAATTGAAAGTGGGAAACAAGAGCTTTCATCAGCAAAAATTAACTGTTCCGAATATTCCTTTTTAAAGGTTAAATTTGGATCATGAAGAAAAGAAATAATATCAATTAAATTGGTAATACTATAATTTTCAAGAATATATCTTTTTGGATCAGATGACAAACCAGCAGTGACATAATCAAATCTTGTTGATTGAGAAACTGATGGATTTAAATTTTTGGCATATAATTCCAAGAGCTCATGTACATAAAGATGATAATTTTTGGATTTCGTATGGTAGTTTTCAGTATTTAAACAACGCTTACAATTGATAATAGATCTTGTTAAATCTTGAATATCTTTACCAAATTTACCAAAAAGTGAACTATCTTCTGTTAACGCAGTAATACTCATGAAAAAAGTTGAATCACGAATAGTTTTCATGAAAACAATTAATTCACCAAATTTTTTTTCAACAGCGCTACTTAATAATCTTGAAATAAATTGAATTGAAAATGAAATAGTGCTAAAAGTATTACCTGAAATTAATTTGGCCGTTATAACATCAACAATTTGTATATTTTTACAAATTGCATTCAATACAGGAATCGTATTTGTTGAAATACTACCTTTCAACAATGCAATTGAAAAAATCAATATGCAATCAAATGTAGCTGCTTGTAAGTTTGGAGATACAATGGAAAATAAGCACTGATAAAATTTCTCATCCAATACCAAACTCAATTCTTCTGATTGTGGCAAAATTTCAACCAACTTGGATAGTATAACTATACTGTTAACTTTCTCTAATTTGTCTGAACCAACAATATGTGTTTTCAAATTCTCAAGAAGTTTTTGTGAACTTTGGACATCCAAAGTCGCTGAGGGATTTTTCCTAATGAATTCATTAACCTTATGATTGATCGTAGTTGTATTATCCACCATATCCTAAATTCTAAATTTGCAAAATATAAATATCTCCAACTTCAAACTTTACTATCAATAAGTAACAGTTTATCAAAGCATAAATAGGGAGTACGGTTTATTTTTATAAAATTATCACTTATTTCTCACCTTATCCTTTTTTTTTTCACTCCTCGAGGACTGAAAAAACTATGGTCGTGCACTTTGAAACTAAAAAATATACTAAAACGACAGCCCTTGTCTCTGGAAGTAAATGGTTTATGGAATATGGGAACAATGAACAACGACAATAAACCAGTTCAAAGATATTTGTATATAGTTCAATTCAGGTGAGAGAGATGAAGAAGAAGTAGAAGATCTTACAGGCACTAATTTTTTTTTTTTTTGTTTTTGAGTTTTAAGTCTGTTTTTCTATTTTTTGGTGTTTTCAGTGGTTTTGAACCTCTTTTCCAAGCGTAAGGTTAAGGTTTCGCTCGCTCGTCCCTGGTTATGAATGATGATCGATCAATATGTCCCAGACCTGAACTAATTACAAACCTATACCATCTTAATGACAATTTTTCTTGTTCTAAAAGAGAAGAGACTGCAAAAATGCTGTTCCTGGATTATATATCAACTGCTCTATGTGCTGATATAGGTTAAAACGCAGCCACCTCCTGGTTAATCCAAAATGGCCTTGCCCTTTAGCACGGCTGTTACTAACCATTATTTGTAAAGGCACATAACCATTGACCGCAGAGGTTGTCCAGGTGGTCCTCCCCAAGCATTTTCAATCACATCTTTGGTGGTTGAAATCATTTCAATTGAACTGGGAAAAAATATCATTAATTCAAAAGAAGTCTTAGACTTAGCAGGTTAAATTGCTTGGCTAGATGATGTGTCAGCTAGTAAAAAGTAGCTTTCTCTTGTTTAGAAAAAGAGTAAAATAAATGTAATGACCAAAAAAAAAAGAGAGACAAGAATTGCAATAGTCGGTCGGATAAATGTAAATTGCAGTTTAACAGAAGACACTTTGATGAGAGTAGACATATAAGGTCTCACTATCCAAAAATACTTTGCTAATATGTTAATAACATAAATAGAATGTTTAAATATTGTATTTAACGATTTTTCTTTTTTTTCTTTTTTTTTATTTTTTATTTTTTCTATATATATGTATAAATATATATTTTCTGGCTAAAGAACGCGGAGGTTTAATATAAAATATTCAAGATTTGTACACTGATATTCTTCTTCATCATTAATATTGCTTTCATCTTGAATATTGTCTTTCAGATTGGTTTTTGGGAAAACTAGTTATTTTTATCCCAAGTTTTTTTTTTTTACTCTCCTATATGCTTCAGCAACGATAGCAGGATTCGAGCCAGTTGGAATGAGCCAAACATCAGTGATAGCAAAGGGTAATACCCTGTCTTCTAAAGTTCAGCTACTGGATCAAAGAATCAAAGAGCAAGCTTTGTCATTGTGAGTATGAGTATATCCGTATAAGATTTGTTTATACCTAGGGAGATTCCTTACTAACCTTCTTTTTCTAGATTGAAAACCATTCATGATCCGTCTAAATCCCTATATTGTAGAATAGAGCACAAAACAACTAAGATGATCTCATCTGTACAGATGTGTGATCATTCGCACTTAAAACCAGTGTGGTCGGAAGATATGATTTATTATTATAGTTGTATGTTAATGGACAGGTATTTAAACCCGGAACTCAAGTTGGGTATTTTTAGAGATTCAGAAAGAAATGGGCCCAAACTTTCTCGTGATTGTGTTTTCCATCCTTTTAAATACCAAGATGATTGGCATTTGGCTATTTTCCATAACGTTTCGAGAAAGATCATACTTATAGATTGTAATTGTAGCTCAGAAAATTCGGTAATCTTTCAGGATGGTTGCTTGTCTGTATCCCAAATGGATAAAGATTTTTTATTCAGTATTGGACTTAAACATGCTAAAAAGTTTCCATATGTATTTAGAGTTTCAAAACTTTTCACTAGGATTTCGGATGCTAATGCTAAGAATGTCTTGGGAGTCATTTATGGTATATGTTGTACTAAAAACATCTTAGATTTTTTAGATGGCGCAAACACAAAATTTAACAAGTTTGATATTTCATTATTTTTCACCCAGGAGTTTCAGCAATTCGATAGGCACACCATTGATAAAATATATCTAACGCCTGCTGTTTTTAATGAATTGGAAGCTATAGAGAACCTGCCGAAGGAGGCCAAGAAAAGGAAAGAAAAAAAAAGCAATAACACCATACAACTGTCGTCTTCAGAGTCATTTGTGTTAGAACATGAAAATCAGTTGCTGCAAGAAAAGCCAACATCACTGAAAAAACTGGGTGTCACGAATTATCCCACTCCACCTTTAGACCCTAGTCATAATCTAGATGTAAATAATAGGGGCACTAAGAATCGGAAAAAATTAACGAAGGCAACAACCAATAGGAAAAAACTCAAGATCACTTTAATACCAGAGGACTATTTTGTTTCTAAAGATATTGCAACACAATTTAGACGTGATATTTATGGAAACATGTATGAATTTGAGGATCCAAATCTTTTGGATCAAATGCTAGATTTTTTCCAGAAATGTTTATCAAAAGAATATAGCAAAGAGGAGTACGCTTTTTGTCCAATAATGTGTAAAGATGTTGTCAATGCCGCTATTTTCATTCTAAAAAATAGAGAGAAAAAATTTGATTACGATGATGAATATTTCGCAGAGGATTTAAAAATTGATAACGA